CTATTTATTTATTTGAGAGAGAATGAGTGAGAGAGAGCATGAGAGAGGAGAAGGTCAGAGTGAGAAGCAGACTCCCCAAAGAGCTGGGAGCCTGATGCGGGACTCGATCCTGGAAGTCAGGGATCATGACCTGAGCCGAAGGTAGTCGCCCAACCAGCTGAGCCACCCAGGTGCCCCATAACATGTTCTTCTAACGAGTCTTTCATAGCTATCTTTAAAATAGTAACACTTATACTCATGTTTCCTTATAATCATATTTAACAAATAAGGATTTTTTCTCTCTCTCTCTCTCTCTCTCTCTCTCTCTCAGGAAAAGTAGTTAAGAGCCTATTACCCAAATCTTTGCAAGACAGACAACTGAGGCCAAGTGCAGGTCTCCCCCAAGGTCCCGGTCATTGGACAGTGTGAGGGGCTGGGAGAAGGCTTCTTTCCAGTGTGAAAGGAGAGTGGACCCCATGTCAGAGAACCCCAGTGTGGTTTTAAGAATTACAGCGGCGTCCTGTCCTTGGCATTCACTTCATCTCTCGTAATATCTCATTAACACGTCTTCTCTGGCGTTTTGTTGCCTTGTCACATTTTTAAAAAATTTAACACTTTTAACCGCCCCCCCCCCTTTTTTTTTTTAAAAACACGTCTTCCTTTATCATCCCAATTTTTGTCTATGTGCTGCTGGGGCCAGCACACGCCATCTTGAACTTTTAAACCTCTTGAGTAAGTAAAAATTGTAATGCATGAAATCTTTGATAAAGAAAATGCCTTAAGTGCGTACAATTCTTCGGAACACTTTCATAACCTACTTTTTTTAAAGCTTGTGCGAGGAGATTCTGGTTTAACATTATATATTGAAGCTATTCTAAGATTAATTTTTAAAAGATTAAGTAAATGCCAAAGATAACATTCTTGCAAACAGCCGCTCTCAGCTTACCTTGTTAATATTGATGAAATCACATGATAAAGTCACTTGACTTTTTAAGTCAAGTCATAGAGTAATTGTGGCTGAATTTTCCGTGTTTGTTACTTTTAAAACTTTTTGTAATCTTAATTGTAATCTTCGCCCAAGTGGGCTGATAGTGGTCACCTTGTTTTTCTTTCTCCGGAGAGACAATAGATCCAGATAAATGTAACCACTTTTTGTCTTAGATCTTTCTTGTGAGGTTCAAGTGAAATTGCAAATAATTTGTTTGGACGGGCAGGAGGGCTAAGAGAGGGCATTTCCTTCTGAAGAGAGATGACCCTTCTATCTCACAATGGAAAATTCACTTTGGTGTTTGGAGTATTCTTGGTCAGACATTACAGGGTTAGTATTACTCTCTAGCATTGTTCTTCTTCGTATTGTTTCATTGTGTTGTGCTTTTTGTCATACTTAAAATTAAAGGTACATACCTTCACAAGACAGCTGTATGCTGAATTAATTCTTGTCCTCAGAGGTGGTGCGCACAGCTTTGCTAGGAGACAGTGATGCCTCTATGGTGAGCAGGTCTGACCCAGTTTCAGAAATCTGGGTGGGGGGACAACACACTGAGCTCTATCCATACATTATAAGTAACCCACTTTAACTGCTGCAGTTAGGAATGAAATGCAGGGGGTACTAAAAAATCTATTTTTTTAAGATTTTATTTATTTATTTGAGAGTGAGTGAGCACATGGGGGTCCCGGTAGAGGGAGAGGGAGAAGCAGACTCCCCGCTGAGCAGAGAGCCCGATGCAGGACTCGATCCCAGGACCCTGGGATCATAACCTGAGCCGAAGGCAGACGCTTAACGACTGAGCCACCCAGGCATCCCCCGTTTTTTCTTAAATTTTTTATTCACACAACTGACACGTTACTTTGTTCCTCTTGTTAAAAAATGCAGGTGATGCCAGCTGTCCTCCAGACTCGCATTTCAGTAGGAATGTCCATTCTGCCCTGTGATTTACAGAGTAAATGATCAGTATCTCAGAGAAAAGCCTGTCCGTTGTTTCTAAGATTTTTTTGTATATTGAACTCAGGTTGCCCCAGGCCAAGGAAACATGAGAACTCCTCCCACTTGAGAGAGAGGAGCCCACAGGACTGACGAAGAACAGGGCAGGAGTAGAAAGGGAGGGAATGTTTTGTCCAAGGTTCCCCCGAAGCTAGTACAACTTAATCTAGTTAACCAACGGGGAACTGGAGGCAAAGTTACCAAACGCAGGCTTGTTCACGTGTGTCTGTCACATAATTTCATTGGAATGACTCATCAGCTGAAATTGGAAAGATTTTTAATTCTTTCTTATTTTGTGACTCATACACGTAACCTAGACATTTGAGGCTGGAATTTTCCATATGTGATCTCTACTGTTGTTGTCCCCCGTTTGCGGATTCAGAAACTGAGGGCCCCTCGGTTAGTGGCCTGTCCCACGGCTATAGAGTTCCCACTCGGAGAGAGGTGGGAGGTCACTTACTGTTGACCGACGGGCTCCTTTCCCGACCTCATATTTTCTCAGAGATCTCCTTGACTCATTCAAGGTCAGATAAATTGTGAATTCTTACTATAATGTCATTTTCGTGTTCTGAGCCTCTTCCCTTTTTATGACTGGAAACACATTCTACCCTGTCATTGTTGAAGCGCAGGTACGGGGTCGGCTGGGATGACTCAGAAGGGGCCCACTTACCCAGCCGGTGAACGTCAGCCTGGGGCGTAAGGCCTCAGGAAACCTCGTTAGCAGCAACGGAGAGCCCTTCACGATCCTTTGGCCAGCCCACCCTGAGACAGTCAGCACCCCCCCCACCTCATGCCCACCCTGAGACAGTCAGCAACCCCCCACGGCACTCTACTGTTAGCTCTGCTTAGAACGTTCCTACTTCAGGTTCTCGAGTCCCTGGGGGGCTGGCTTGGTGTGTTGGGCCCCTGAGAACCTCGCTGTGCCTGCAGAGTTCCATGACTGAGTGCCCCGTTTCCCTGTGTTTCCAGGTCCATCATCAGCAGAAGATTCTTCTGCATCGTCGGCACGCTGTACCTGTACCGCTGTATCACCATGTACGTGACCACCCTCCCGGTGCCCGGCATGCATTTCAACTGCTCTCCGAAGGTAAACCGGGCCCTTGTTTGTGTGTCCTCTTGCCCAGGGGGCCTCTGACTAAGGCTGGAGGAGACCGTTGCCTTGGAATGTCCTCCAAGCCCTGCATCCTTACTCGGGAACGTTACAGAGTCACACGGCAGGGCACGTGCGCGCCCCCCCTTCTTGGACTCTCCACACCCACCAGTGCACCCCAGCTGGGAGTGTACATAGTCTTAGTGTTCTGGAGGCAGGGAGGCCCCATGTGTGGGTGTAGCTCTCTGGTTTCCTGCCAGACATTCGAGATATTACTCGATCCCTTGACACAGATCCAGGAGCTTTTAGACGCTTTTTGCTGCTCTTGGACGGAAAGTTGGGCTTCCGGTGGTAGGTCTCCCTTCTTTCTATTAATCCCACAGTGGAGATCTGCAGAGCCGGAGACACCGTCCCTTTCCCTTGCACCCTCCCCGACCCAGGCAGGGTCCCTGTTCCCTGGAGGCACATTTTGCCCTGTTGATCTTCTCAGGTAGCACAGAGACCTGCCCTTAAACCCCAGTCCTCTCTCATTGACTCTGTTTGTCCGTCGGGTCCACAAAATGCTCCTGACCCCCCAACCTTGACCTTGCGATGCTTCCAACTAGGGAGACCACTGGGACTTTTGAAATAGTTAGCAGAAGATTGATTCAGTTTTACAAATGTTTGCTGGCCACCAAGATCTGACGCAGTAAGAATCAGAAGAGGCCAGCTTCCTTGACCAGGTCGGGAGGATGCAGGGGACACTGCGGTGCGTTGGGAATCATTTCTTTGCGTCGGTAAAACACCCATGTGCTTTCATTTCTTCCCCTTTAAGTTTTGGTTTTTCTGGAAAAGTCTGTCTGCTAGAACTGGGAAAGGGGGTGGAAAAATTCACCAGGTTTTCAAAGTGGTGTCTTTATCACTTGAAATTTCGGATACCTCTAGGTTACAGGCTTCACTGCGGCCCCTTCTTAGACTGAGGTGTGTGCTCAGGAAGATGGCTGGTTGCCTACTTCACTCTGTTTTGGCTTCAAACTCTTCACTGAACTATGGAGAAGCCGTATGGAGAATGAGTAGTCCCACGATCTCTATCTGCAGCCTCCCACCCCACCCTGCGCCTCCCATCTTGCTCCCTCTTCCTCCAAAGAAGCCAGCCTCACGTCTTCTCCAGCCTCTGTGAGAATTCTCGAGCACTGCCTTGGCTGCTGGGTTGTAGGAAGTATCTTCTGATCAGTGAAGGTCCAGTAATGGAGACTCTTGGCGGGAGCCTGGCTTGATAAGCCGTGTGTTCTCAGTAGTAGGTGGATAGTTAGGAGTGTTTGACCAAGTTGAGTTGAGCTCCTTCAAGGAGGCTGTGCATGGGGAAGTTTCTCCACCAGGGAACACGGCATGCTGGGCCCAGCCCACAGTCAGGGGTGTGACGTGGAGGGGTTGTGCCGTGTGGACGATCTCCTGAGGACCTCTCTGCCACTCCATCGAGTGGCCGGCCATCCCAAGCTTGGTTAGCACTGGTGCTCAGAGAGCCCTCCTGAGTCACCGGCAAATCCAGCCAAGGTCCTGTGGCTATAAATAGTTATGGTTTTTCTTGGTAAAGACAGAGGTCACAGCAGGAACTGTGCAAAAAAAGCCAGCCTGAACGTGCCACTTGTGTATGGTGTTGCCAGAAACCCTGCCCTGGGCCATCCTTTCATGACGGTCATTTGGAAATTGGGATTTTTTAAAAGTAGAGGAACACAGGAGGGGATGGAACGTAAGCACAGCTTAGCAAAAACAGTCAGTCAGGGACTTGTTAAATCTAAATACTTCTTTTGTAGAACAGGCTCTTGGAAGAAAGGATTCAGAAAACAATTTATATTCTGAAAACGTTCACATGCATCTCTCGGAGTAGAAACGCTCGTATGGGGAGCCTGTGTGCGCCCAACACCCAGATCCAGGAGCTCTCAACACTTGGCTGAATTTTCATCTCTCTCTCTTTTTTTTTTTTTTTTTTTTTGGAACTATTTTAAAACAAATGTCAGACAATGTCATTTGATGGTTATGTGCTTTAGTAGGCATCTGAATATTTTGGGCGTTTTATGGATAACTCTGATGCTGTTGGTATAGTCAAACATGAGTGATTCCTGGTTCATAGAATAGCTTGATTATTTTTAAAATGCCTTTTTAGGGGCACCTGGGTGGCTCAGTGGGTTAAATCCTCTGCCTTTGGCTCTGGTCATGATCTCAGGGTCCTGGGATCGAGCCCCACATCGGGCTCTCTGCTCAGCAGGGAGCCTGCTTCCCCTTCTCTCTCTGCCTGCCTCTCTGCCTACTTGTGATCTCTGTCTGTCAAATAAATAAATAAAATCTTTAAAAAACAAAATGCCTTTTTAAAAGAAGGGTTTGTATAAGTTAGGAGCCAAGGTCTTTGTGTTTAGTTGCTATGTCTCTTCAGTCTCTAATTCTAGGGCAGTCCTTTCTCTTTCTTTTCTTCTCCCCATTTGTAGCTCGCAGAGATCAGATGGGTGGTTCTGTGTAATAGCCCACATTCCGGATTTTCCCCGTTTGATTCTTTGTCATGTCGATTAGCCTTTTTCTCTGCTCCATTTCCTCTCTAAATAGAAAGTGGGCTCTGGAGACCTCTCGGGCAGGAAGACTCCCCAGATGAGACAGGATGATTTCCGGAGCCGGACGGAAGAGGCGGGGGAGGCCGTGGAGGCCGTTGCTGCCCCTGGCCCGGCGGCCCAAGCCCAGGGAATCCAGTGGCTGGTCCGGGCTAGTGGCAGAGGGAGAGGGAGCGCCAGAGAGGGGACCCAGAGGCCCGGGGCTCACCGGTCAGGACCAAAGGGAGCCTACCCGAGAGTCATCCCTGCCCAGTGGCTCCCTTCAGGGTCTCCCCACAGCAGCCTCCCCCTTGAACCATTGCCCAGTGAGGCGGCTTCTCAGCTGTATCTGTATCTTTATACAGGCTGAGTCACAGGAAGAGCAGAGGTCGGAGGCAGGGGCTCACACCCCGGTGGTCCCCCCATGTGGCTCTTGTGTTCGCTGCTCAGGGCCTCTGGGCCTTGGTGGGCAGCACGGCGCTGTCCCAGGGAGTCCGAGAGTGAGGGCGGCCACACATCAGGGGCTCTGTGGGTGCCGAATGGCACGTGGAGGTCAGAAGAGAAGCTGGTGTCCTCACCGTGCTCCATCCCCCATGACTGACCTGTCCCACGACCGACCTCTCGGTGACTGTTTGCTTCCCAGGCCCGCCTGGCGAGTTGGGCCGCACAGATCTTCCCTGTCGAAAACGCTCCGTGAACTCGGTCCTGCCGTCCCGTTAGGCCCCGTCGTGGGTGCGTGTCATTCCTCCCCTGACGCCAGGCTCACGCCGTGCAGCCGCGATGGGCCGGGGCCAGCAGGCCGGTCGAGGAACCCCGAAGGTTGCTCCCGTTGCTCGTTCTTTGGCTGTCACCGCGCGCTTCACCCGACAGGATGTCGCGGTCATGGGAACTGAGGAGGGAGGAGAGCGGGGCCCTCTCCCAGCTGCGCTCCCGCTCCGGAGAGGAGCCACGGGGCAGCGGGCACGCTCACTTCCCACAGGAGTTTCTGGGCGGCGCTTGTCCTGTGGCCTGGGGACGCGGGACGGGCCTGCAGCAGGGGCTGCCGGGCTGTGTCGCCAGGGTTTGCCTGTTCTGCTCGCCAGAGCGTCCCTGTGGGCAGCACGTGCACAAACCAGAGCGCACCCGCTCGTCATCCTGGTCCTGTTCTTTAGGATTCCCTTAAAAAAAAAAAAAACCTAAGAAAACAAAAAACCGCAGAAGTATTTGAGAATTCTTCAGTGTTCTTAGCTTCCTGCAAGGAAGTTTTTTCTGTTGTAGCAAACTCCAAAAGGGGAGAAAAAACAAACCACTTACCCTGGGCCTGGATCCAGACAGCCTGAGACCAACGGGGGAAATAACTTTGGCTGTTTCCAGCTCTCATCTCCGTAGCTGCAGGAGTTAATCCGGGGCTCGGTTTAGAGTGAGGTTCTGTGGTCTCCATGGCGACCGTAGGTTTGCAAACCTTGGAACAGAGGGGGTTTCATCAGAGCAGGACACTGCACAGGGTGACACGGTGTTTTTAGTGCCTTGATCCTCCCGAGCTGGGAAGAGCCCCCGGAGGACAAGGGCTGTGTTTGGGCGGCCCCTGGGGTAACGGTTCAGCGGGACAGGAAAGCACCGAGTGAGGACAGAAGGGCCTTGTTGCCTCTCCTGCTGTCAGTCGTCCTGTGTCACCCGCATGGGAATGGTCAGGGCCTGTCCTGCACCCTGCAGCTGAGTGGTGCTGGTCCCCAGCCTCCCAGGCCTCCTCTGGGGCCTCCTCTCGGGCACCATCACAGGCTTCGGTGGGGGGAGGTGGGTCGGGGAAGGCCACACACTCTTGGGAACCACGCGAGCTCCCTGGTGCATTCTCAGGCTCTCCAGGTGCAGCGTGAATGGGGCAAGCTTCCCTCTGTGCTCTTGGGGCTGTGATCAGCTGCCACCCTTATCAGCGCTTTTGTTTTTTTTAAGATTTTATTTATTTATTGGACAGAGATCACAAGTAGGCAGAGAAGCAGACAGAGAGTGGGGGTGGGGAAGCAGGCTCCCCGCCGAGCAGAGAGCCCGACGCGGGGCTCGAATCCAGGACCCTGAGATCATGACCTGAGCCGAAGGCAGAGGCTTAACCCACTGAGCCACCCAGGCGCCCCCTTATCAGCACTTCTGTTGCCGGAACAGCTTCATGTCATCCCATTCAAGTGTGTGGAACCTAAGTGGTCTGTGCCTGATTTGACCTCATTTTCTGCTCGCCTCCCCATTTCTTACTGTCAGCATAACCTGCCTTTTTGTTTGTTCTCACTTCTGTTTCTTGCACAAAACTTCCTGAGCCTTCCCCTTCCCAGACCTCTTCTTCACCTTCCTCTGTCTCTCTCCACAATTCTCTTCCTTTTTTCAGGGGCAAAAATAAATAGAAATATGCAAAATCATTTTTTCTCTCTCTTAAAAAGATTATTTTTTCCATTTTAAAGAAACTAAAGATTT